GCCAAAGTTTTATATAGTTACATAGTATGAAAGGAAACTATCAGCGAGCTAGTGAAACACTGTTCCCTTTTCCGACCATACACCTCTGTGAAGTTGGATTTTCTATATACACTTGAATCAAACTGGCACAAAGTAACACACTGGATATAGAATCAGGAGAATCAGCTGGCTACTCCTAGGCTGCCAGATTTTTGTTTGTTTTTGAAAGTAAAGTTGATTTTTCCAGTAAAAAACTTTTATTTATTTCAACATACAAGGGTTTTTGATTTAGGGTTGTTTATTTATTTATTTTTTTTTGTAATCCTAGGGATCAAACTCACAGTCTTACATGTGCTAGGCAAGTGCTCTACCACTAAGCTACACTCCCAGCCTTTCTGAAATTTTTATTTTTTAAATGAATTTGTAAGTAATGTGTTTTTACATGGATTCAGTTTTAATCCCTAGGGTGGTAAATGTCTACATAGGTAGATAGCTCAAACTAAAGTTTTGTGGGGGTCCTTGATTTTTAAGAGCGTAGAAGAAATTAACACGTTTACAAGTAGCTCTGATTTCACCCTCAAAATAAGCTTTGGTTTCTGTGTACCAGCCTCATGCCCATTTTGCATGTAGAGACACTGAGATACAGAAGACTGGATAATGTCCCTGAGAGTAAATAGGTACCAACCGGGGGTCAAAGCCAGGCAGGGCAGCTTCCCAGGGCATGCTTGGTTGTTTGTTGGAGTGCTGGGATCAAACTGAACCCCTCATGCATACTAGGCAAGTGTTCTTCCACTGAGCCACATCCCAGCCCTGAGTGCACACTCTTACCCTCTACCTGCCTCTCCCCTAGCACTTGCTCCCAAAGAAAATGAAGAAAAATGAAAGATGATGTGTTATAATGGAGACCAGAGAAGAATACAAGTAAATATTTGTGTAATCTTGGATCAGAAAAGAACTTTCTATGGAAAGTGCAGAAGTAGATACAATCTTAAATATTAATAGTCTACAAGGGGGCCGGGGATTTAGCTCAGTCGTTTCACCGGCTGCTGTGCAAGCACAGGGACCTGAGTTCAATCCCTGGTACGAAAAAAACAAAAAACAAAAATAGTCTACAAGGCTTGATAAAAACAATGCTTAAATAAATAAAAATAAAAATTTTTTAAATGTATTACATTAAAAGACACATTGCCATGAATACCGCTCAGAATACTCCCCCTCCCTTTGAACACACGTATCCCATCATTCTTTCTACTTTCTGAAGCAGTTCGGGACATCCTCTTTCTTCAGTATCTTTCCATGGCTGCCTCAATGTCCTGAACCAATCCAAACATTTATGGCAGTTTCCATCAAACGAAAACATCAACTTGTATCCTCATCCACCTTATTCACCAGATCTGCACAAGGCAACTTTTGGCTCTTCCCCCAAATCAAAATGACCATGAGTTTTGAATCAACTCAGCACACCAAGGTAGCCACACCAGCAAAACTGAAGACACCCACAAAAGAGAACATCAAGAACCTGGGCCGGGGATTTAGCTCAGTGGTTCTGGCACCTGCCTCGAAAGCACAAGGACCGGAGTCGATCCCCGGTACCAAAATAAATAAATAAATAAATAAAAATGAAAAATAAAAACAGGCTTCTTTAAAAAAAAAAAAAAAAGAGTGCAAGGTCCCGAGTTCGATCCCTGGTACCAAAAAAAATTTTTTTAAATAAAATTAAAAAAAGAACTGCTTCACAAGTGGCAAGAATGATGGGGTAAGTATGTTCAAAGTGAGGATTGTGTTTGCAGAGAGCTGATAAGACCCCCAAAGTTAAAAGCAAATGATAAGTAGATAAAAAATATTTTTAACATATTTGTATTATTTGTCATCTTCAAAGTGTACTTTTTTCAGATAAATGAAAAAAATGAGTACCGTTGTCCCCCAGTACCCTCCCAGGACACCTTCTCCTTGGTTGCCAGACTCCAGGCCCTTATAAAACACGTGGTCGTATTTGCATGCAACCTACACCCATCTTCCTGTATACTTCAAATCATGTCCGTATCTCTTCTGATACCCAATCCACTGTAAGTGCTATGGACCTTGTCATTAGATTGTATTGTTCAGGGAATAATGACAAAAAAAGAAATCTGTACGTGTTCAGTATGGATGCAATTTTGCTTTTCTAATATCTTTGATCTAATATTTTTGGTTGAAGGCACAAATGTGAGACCCACACATGTGGAGACTGACTGCCCTCCTTAAGAATAAAAGGCCAAGTGGGGCACTGTGGCACTGTGGCACAAGCTTGTCATCTGAGTACTCGGGGAGGCTGAGGCAAGAGGATCGCTGCAAGTTCGAGGCCAGCCTGGGTTACACAGTGAGTTCAAAGCCAGTCTGAACTACACAGCAAGACCCTGTCTCAAAAGGGTGGGGGGTAGAAAAGGATATAGCTCAGTGTAAAGACCCTGGGTTCAATCTCCAGCACCAAAAAGAAAAAAGAAAGACTAAAATGGAGCTGGCTATGGTGGTACACTCCTATAATTCTACCACTTAGGAGGCTGAGGTGGAAGGATCACAAGTTCAAAGCCAACCTGAGCTACACTGTGAATTTAAGGCCAGCTTGAACTATACAGCCAGATTCTGTTTCAAAACCCAACTCTAAATAAATAAATTTTAAAAAGAGTAAAATGGATCAAAAGACAAACAAACAAGGGCTGGGGATGGACCGAGGATTTAGCTCAGTGGCACCGTACCTGCCTCTCAAGTGCAAGGTCATGAGTTCAATCGGGGCTGGGGATATTCCTCAGTGATAGAGCATATATTTAGTATGCTTCAGGCCCTTGGTTCAATCCTCAGTATAGGAAGAAAGAGAAGAAAGGAAAAAAACCCAAATAATAAGCAGGACACAAATAGCCAATAAATGTTGGGGAAAACGTTCAACCTAACTTGTTATTTGATAACTGCAAACAATGAGGTGCCGGCCTGCTGACGACTATGTTCCTACTGGAGGTGAACTAGGTCAGTGCCCAGTGTCCAGTGGGATACACACTGGCTCAGCTCTTTGGAGGCCATTGGACAGGGAGACCCCCAAGGGGGTGTGCACTTTGCACACTCATTAAGCTTTGTGTACTTACATGTGTCCATGAAACTTCCCTTTCAAGTTTCTGAAGAACAGAGCAAGCCAGGTGGGATGGCTCCCACCTTAACAGCACTCTGGGAGGCTGAGGCAGAAGGACAAAAGTTTAAGCCCAGCCTGAGTAACTTGGAGAGAAAAAAAATTTTAAAGAACTGTGGGTGTAGTTCAGTACAAAGGCCCTGGGTTCAACTCTCAGTACCACCAAAAAAAAAAAAAGTGACAACAGTTTATTTACTGATACAAGAAAATGACTACTGTATATTTAGTCTAAAAAAGACCAAAGTATTTTAGTTTCATCTCATTAAAAGAGCTGGGCACAGTGGCACATGCCTATAATCTCAGCTACTCAGGAGGCCGAGGCAGGAGGATCTCAAGCTTGAAAACAGCCTTGGCCAGGAACAGCGAACCTTTTAGAAATGAGTGCCCACAAAGTGCCAACACTGCAATTAAACCTGAATACTTCACCTCACACTGCTGGCCTGTGAGGCCCAATTTCCCCCCAGAAATGACCGTGGGGAGCCCCCAGGCCCAAAGAGTCCTCCCCACACAGGAGTGTGATCTGGACAGAGCCCCTCCCCCTCCAGGGGCCTCAGTGTCCCCAGACTCTGTTCCTGACCTCAGGCAGTTTCCTCGGGCCTGAGCCCATCCTCACTGTGCCACAGAAGGCAGAAGCAGGAGAGAGAGGTGGCCGGTTCACGTCAACCGGAAGGCAGCTCGCCAGATGCGTGGCAGCAGGACAGGCCGGCTTTCCATCCGGGCCCCCACTGCTGGTGACCAGAGGGAGGGGTCGGGGGAGCCAGGAGCACGTGGGCACACAGCAGCCAGAGAGAAAACAGGATTTGCCCCGGAAGGCCAGGCACACGGCGGACCCTCGGGCAGGGAAGTGACTTCATTCCACACCATACTCCTCGCTTCCGCCCCCAGACCGAGGGATTTTCAACACTGTGGGACCAAGTTTCTCCAGGCCAGGCCAGCTCCACATGGGCCAGACCTTCTCTCCGCAGCACCACTGTCCCCACTGAACAAATGAGGAAACTGAGGCTGGCAGCAGGCAGGCACTTCAGCACCTGTCCCACTGCCCTGAGAAATGGAGGAAAAGCTTCCTGGAAGCAAAAGCAACAGAGCTGGCCCTGGAAGGCTGAGCAACATCTGGCAGACAGAAAGGGAGAGGAAGGGCATTTGGCCCAAAGGCATAGCATAGAGGCAAATGCTGCGCGCTTCACAGAGCCTCCGAGGAAGTGCTAAGGTACTTGGGAGGCCAGCAGCTGTGTGACCCTGACCAAAACACCAGCCTTTCTGTGCCACAAGGCTGTCACAAGAAGGCAACAACCACGAAGCTGGGGGTGTAGCTCAGAGCCAGAGCACTTGCCTCGCATGTCAGGGCCCTGGTCAACCCCAGCACTGCAAAAAAAAGATAATAACCAGGACCACATCTGATGGTGACAACAGCCTAAGACAACCCTGTAGGACCCTCTGAGCACCCATGGCAGGTGCTGGACAAATGCTTGTTGCTGCGTCATTTCTTCAAATACCCTGTGGGCCACACAGCATGGCTGATCTGGCCCTCGGAGAGGCTGGGATGTGGCCTACATCTCCTGACCAAGATTCAAACTTGGAGCTGGGTGTGGTCACGCATGCCTATAATCCCAGTACTTGGGAGACTGAAGCAGGAGGATTATTGCAGTTCGAGATCAGCCTGAACTACACAGTGAGAGCCTGTCTCAAAAAAGGTTGGGTGGGGCCGGGGATTTAGCTCAGTGGTTCTGCTGCCTGCCTCGCAAACACAAGGTCCCAAGTTCAATCCCCGGTACCAAAAAAAAAAAATCTTGGGTGGCCCCAAATCCCAGGCCTACCCCCAGCCCAAACCAACCAGGGCCCTCAGACCTCAACCTGCCCACCACACCTCCCAGTTCTCCACATGGTGCCTGGCGGGGTGGGGGCTCCACCACCTGGGATCCTTGGACACAGCAGCAGCAGGGATCCATGCCAGGGCGCAGGGCTGGGAAGGGAAGAAAATGTTTTTCTGTTTCTTCCTCTTCCTGTATATCTGTCTCCTCCACCTCAGCTCCGGGTAGCTCTGTTCAGAGGGAAAGCCCTGGGAAGAAAGACATCCGGCTGTGTGGCCACCCCTGCCAGCCTTGCTGGGGCCCTGTGCCCACATCCCTACAGACCCATGCCCAGCTTCCAGGCCAGGGTAGGGACGGCCGGCCCTGGGATTGGTTCCAGATGCCAATCCTGACTTCACAGGGGTCTGAGGGCTATGGGAGGCCACGCAGGGAAAAGGCCGGTACCCAGCAACACTGGTCAGGGTTCCTGATCCCCTCCATGCTGACAGGCAAGATGCCACCAGAATGCACCCCATGACAACAAACAACAGTGCCTCCTCATCTCTCCTGCGGCCACCCCAGAAGGAAAACTGCATCCGGGCACTAGCAGTGGGACCAGGGATGGGCATGGAATGGTGAGGAGATGGCTGCTGCATGGGGCCATCCAGGGCCATGAGACCTGGAATGATGCCCCTGACACTTTAAGCCTGCAGGGAGGGGTGGGCAGGCAAGGCTAGGGCCGAGCCTGGCAACAATGAGTTACCCTGTGGCCCTGAGGAGGTCACTGCCTCTCAGTCCCTCCAGAACCACCAGTTTCCTTCTTGTTAAAGTGAGGATTCTGCCAGGCATGGCAGTGCACGCCTGTGAGCCCAGCGCTCAAGAGGTTGAAGCAGGAAGACCGCTATGAGTTCAAGACCAGCCTAGACTACATAGGGAGACACTGTCTCAAGAAAACCAAAAAATTAAAAATTTTAAAAATAAAATGTGAATTCTACCATCACCCAGAGATCCACTCCAGGGCATGTCTCCTTGGGAGTGAGTGTCCCTGTCCATCAAGACATAAAAGTGTTCACAGCAGCTTTATTCCTGATCGCCCAAAACTAGAAACAAAAGCTCACCTGCAGCAAAGCAGACAAAGCGAACTGTGGTTCAGATTGAGCATCCTAATCTGAAAACTCAAAATCCGAAATGCTCCAAATTCCAGAACTCTGTGAGCAGCAAATGACACCACAAATTGAAAATTTCATACCTGACCTCAGGTGATGGGGTTAGTTGAAGTGCAGGTGCACTAAACAACACTGTATAACAATACCTTCCGGCTATGTATATAAGGTGAATATGAAACAAATGCATTTCCTACTAAGACTTGTGTCCCATCCCCAAGATACCTCATGTGTAGGCAAATATTTTTAAAAATCCAAAATCTGAAACACTCTGGTCCCAAGTATTTTGTGTAAGACTGTATGGCTGTGTGGTGGAATATTACACAGCAACAGAAAGGGCAAGCCACCAGTACCTGAAGCCACAAGGGTGGCTCAGAGTTCATAAGGGATGAAAGAAGCCAAGACAAAACTGCTCGCATACATTAGCCCATTTATACAAATTCAAGGACAGGCAGGGGTAATCCTTGGGAAGCCTTTCAGGATGAGAGGATGGGTAAAGGGCTAAACCTTCTGAGCCACCAGAAATGTTCTATGCCTTGGTGGGGGTCGCAGGTAACGTACCTGTAACAATTCATCCAGCTATAGCCTGACTCGTCACCCGTCAATTATACCTCAGTTAGCAAAATAAAACAGGAACAGCTAAAAACTCCTACCCAGAGGACCACACAGAGACAGTTCGGAGCTGCAACATGTAGTGAGGCAGGAACACGGCTAGGAGTCAAAGGACCAAGTCCAAATTCTCATGCTCCCTCAGAATACCAGTGTTTTCTTCCTTTCTTTACTTTTTTTTTTCTTTTATTAGTGCATTTTAGGTATATAATATAATGACATTCGTCACTGGAAATTTGCACCTTTACATAATCTCTCTTGGTTCTTATTTTTCCCCCTTCCCCTGCCCTATTCAACCCCTCCATCCCTCCCTATTTACAAAAACTTTGTTTCCATTTTTTTATTTTCTCATATTAATTCCATTCCCTTTTTTCCTTTCCCCTACCCCTCCCACTTCCCCTTCCGCTTTGCCCCTTTTCTTCCAATTTCACATTATCCATTATACCTTTTAGTTCTTATTTACACTTTGTTTTTTTACTCTTTTTAAATTGCTGTTTACCAGATTTTTTTTTTATTACAAAAGTAATTAGCACAGATAGTCACAAATCAAAGATCTACAAAGAAAAGGCTTGTCGCGGCCGGGGATTTAGCTCAGTGGATTTGCCACCTGCTGCGCAAGCGCAAGGACCAGAGTTCGATTCCCGGTACCAAAAAAAAAAAAAAAAGAAAAGGCTTGTGCCCTTCCTAGCTCCCTCCAACCTACTTGTTTTCTGCTAGAGATTGAACCCAGGTCCTTTGCATTAAGTTACATTCCCAGCCCTTGTTTGTTTGGTTGGTTGGTTGGTTTTTATTGAGATAAGTCTTACTAAGTTGCCCAGGCTGGATCTAAACTTGTGATCCTCCTGCCTCAGCCCCAGAGTGCTGGATTTACAAGTGTGCACCACCAGCCTGGCTCCCAGTCCACCTTTCTGAGGCTCATTCCCTCACCCCCAGAATGGACTAACTCATTCCCTCTTCCTGCAGCCCTTGTGCTCTGGGCACCTGTTCTGGGAGGCACTATTCGAGGGGTGGTGTGAAGAGCAAATCCCTGCCCTGGATGTGGTTGTGCCAGCAGGAGAACAGCAATCAGCTACATAAATCGGGAAACTGTACTGCGTGTAAGAGACAGGGAAGAGGCGTGAAGTTTTAGGCAGGGAATCTGGGGAGGCCTCCCCCTGGAGCGAGTATGGAAGAATGTGAAACAGGAGGCTGGGGGGCACACAGGTGGAAGAGCATCCTGGCCAGAGGGGACACCTGTGCAAAGGCCCTGGGGTGGGGTGGCCCTGGTGTGCGGAAGGGGCCAGGAAGTGGCCACTGTGTGCCTGAGTTGGGCATCCACAGGCATCAGGCGGGGATGTCCTGGAAGGTGCCAGAAGGACACTGGGTGCCACCCTGAGCAGACGGAGCCAGTGGGGGCTTTGGACAGAGAAGTGCTCCACACTGACTTATGTTTTGACAAGGTCACCTGAGCCCAGTATTAGAAGAGGTGGCAGGGGACGGGGCAGAAGACAGACCTGCTAGGAGTCCACTGCAGTAAAGCAGGCGATGTCAGAAGCCAGGGCGGGCACCCAGGACCAGGGGGGAAAAGGGCTTATCCTGGCCCACTGTGAAGGTGAAAGACAGGACCCCGACCCACTTCTGAAGTGAGGGAGAAATGGAGGGGCTGGGCGACATGGAGCCATCTGCTCTGAGGAACTGAAGGGACAGGGTGGCCACCAAGCAGATGGGGCAGATGGCAGGCACACAGGAGCAGACAGACGGGCGTCCACAGTGGTAGGTTCCCCCTGTCCCTGCACAGGAAGAGGTCCAATGGATCACTCCGAGAGCAACAGCAAACTCAGGGGAAAGGCGGTCTGGAGAGCACGCTGCGCAGACTCTGACTTGCCACAGCCTCCTTCTCGAGAGGGAAACTGAGGAAGTGAGGAAGCACCTCTACCTAGAGCCCCTGCTGGGCAGGTGGCAATGAGCCCACTTGGGTCCTACAGCTCCCATGTCACCCCCAAACAGACTACAGGGTGAGGCTCAGTGTCCCCAGGCAGTTCCCAGGAAGTGACGCTAGACTCGGGGTTTCCAGACCTGAGGGCATGACCCCAGCCAGGCTCCATGAAAGTGTGCTAGGGATCTGTCGGCTCTCTCTCTTTTTTTTTTAACTGAGCTATAAATAATTCACATCTCATAAAATTCACTCTTTAAGTATACAATTCAGCCAGTCATGGTGGTACATGCCTACCATCTCAAGACTTGAGAGGCTGAGGCAGGAGGATCACTACAAGTTCAAGACCAGCCTGTTCTACACAGTGAGTTCAAGGCCAGCCTGAACTACATAGCAAGACCTTGTCTCCAAATCAATCTATCAATCAATCATTTTTAGTATATTCACAAAGTTGTAGAGCCAGCGCCACTAATTCCAGAATATCAACCTCAAAAAGTGAACAAAACCTATAACCCACCCAACTTACTCCTAAGAATGTGCCCAGGAGCAGTGGGAACAAGCATCTACACAAACATGCCAAAGGGCAGGAACATCCCAAACATTCAGCAACTGACCAATGAATAAGCACAACACAATGGAGAGCTACAGCATGGATAATCTTGAAAACATTATGCTAAGTGAAAAAAGCGAGACATGAGCCAGGCGTGGTGGCGCACCTGTCATCCCAGCACTCTGGGAGGCCAAGGCAAGAGGATCACAACTTAGCCACTTAGCAAGACTGTCTCAAAATAAAAAGGGCTGGGGATGTAGCTCGGTGCAAAGGTCCCAGGTTCGATCCTTAGCACAAAACAAAACAGACATAAAAAGGCACATGCTACATGACTCCTCTTAGACGAACTACTCAGAAGAGGGGAATCCACAAAGACCATGCAAAGTATGAGCTGCCAGGGCTGTGGAGGACAAACTAGGAGCGATTCCTTAATGAGTACGGGATCCCTTGTGGGGTGATAAAGTGTTTTGGAACAAGATAGAAGTGATGGCCACCACTGCATTGTAACTAAAATGCTTAATTTGGGGCTTGTTTGAGGCTGAGGGGCAGCACTTATGCTTAGCATATGTGAAGTCCTGCACTGCATCCCCAACACCCAAAAACGTTTATTTTTGGGGGGTTTTTTTGTTTTTGTTTTTGTTTTTGGTACTGGGGATCAAACTCGGGTCCTTGTGCTTGCACAGCAGGCGGCGAAACCACTGAGCTAAATCCCCGGCCCCAAAAAACTTTTTTTAAAATAAAGGCTGAGCATGGTGTCACACATCTATAATCCCAGTACACAAGAGGCTGAGGCAGGAGGATTGCAAATTTGAGGCCAGCCTGGGCAATTTAACAAGACCCTCTCTCACAATTTTTTAATTTTTAAAAAGAGCTGGGGATGTAGCTCAGTACTCCCTGGGTTCAATCCCCAGTATGACGACAATGACGATGAAGACAACGAAGAAGAAGAAGAAAAAGAAAAGAAAATGCTTAATTTATGTCTGAGTTTCCAAAAATAGACCAAGAAGACAAAATAAAAGTAGCACAGTGGTCCTG